GTATTCAATGTCTTTTGAAATAACGAGTTTTTACACGATTAATACAAATAAAAATAAAATTTCATATTTTAAATAAAAATAAAATTGATGTTTTTTTTTTAAGCCATAGGTAATCYGAACAAATCGCTAATCCGAACGACCCCTTTCCCCAATCTCGTTCGGATTATCGAGACCCTACTGTATTAATTTAACAAGGTAGGTATCTACAAAAAAACTCTAGCTTAAGTATACTATCTTAGTACATAATGTCTAATTTGTATCTCACGGTTGCTGATCCCTGGTCTAGACTACAGAAAATTATGAATCATAGTAGTGCAATTAATTTTATAAATGTATGACGTGTTTACGTTAATATACCAATTCAAAATATACACATTTGAATACAGTTTTTTGAAGATTATATTTATTTTATTTTATTCCTGCCCCTTCCCTTACCCATAATATTTTCCTGGCTACGCTTTTAGTAAAAGTATAAGTATTATTGAAATAAATAAAAATTATTTATGAAATTGTAAACTTTAAAATATGGTAATCTACTTATATAATTAATTAATTAAAATAGATAATTTAATAATAATAGCAGCATGTTCCAAAAATACATTGATTGTTAGCAATGTTTAAAATATTAACACATAAGTAGGTACTTACCTATATAAATATAGAATATAGAATTTTCAACAAAAAACTACGTTTTATAATTCAACACAAATTTATTTTATTCATACAGGAAGCAAGTCAATTTCAGACATTAAATGATTTAAGTTATAATATCATGACCTCAAATATAGTTACTATTTTTTTTAAGAAAAATCAATAAATATAATAATATTTCATTTATTTTTATAAATAAGTACCAGATATATTTAAGAATATAAATATGGTATATTCAATTGAAATATTTCTATATCACCTTATTTGATTATAAATGATTATTATAATGCAATGGTTGTTTTTTCAAAAACAAAAGAGTAAATGCTAACAATAAAAGGATTTTATATTAGATATTTAGGTATTGAATATTTATTGTTTAAGCTAATATTTCTAGTTGACTTAATAATTGTATGCGCCTACCCTATAATTTTTTTATTTATATTATACATAGACATATATTTTATATGTTTTTATATTAAAAACTATAAAGTATTTATTATCGTTAGTATTATCAATGTCATTGTATTTTCTTATTGTATAGCAGATTATAAATACTCAACTAATCAATAAATATATACTAAAAAACTATATAGTTCTATTTTTAAAGAAAAATGAGGGCTCTGGATCATACCTCCTCTTAATTATGGCCTCAGATTTGTCTGTTAGATACATAGCAAATTCAATAGAGGCAATTTCCCTTCTTACATAGATTTTTTTTAAACAATAACCATTAATTATGAACAATTCTATATATAATACTATTTTATCCTATAGTATTAAATTATCTTTTCTAATTATTATCTATCTAAAAGATCAATATTTTTAAATTATTTATTGATACCTAAAGTTAATAACTTTTTGGATTGATCTTAGTTCTGAATTTGACCCACCATCTATCCTAAACCAAGTAAGCCAATGTATTTGTAAGCTTGGTCAATTTCCTCAAATGTATTTCATTATTTTTTTATCTTAATATATAATTTAATCATTTACAAAAATTAGCTTTACAGTAAATTTGAATATAAGCATCTAAATTTATTTATTGTTTTTGAGGTCATGAAATATAATTATTAATAAGCTAGAACAATAACAAGCAAAAATTATTTTTAATTTTTTGGTCAGATCTTATTTTTGCGTATTACTTTCGTTTTCAGTTTTAACATAACTAGATTTTCTTGGAAATACCGGAGAATTACGTCGTGATTTGCTTTCTTCTGTTGCCAAGTGTTCTGGTGATTTGCTTTTTGATTTAAAGTGCATTTTAGTTGCTAAATGTCGAAACCTATATTAGAATGTTTGCTTAATATTTAATTATTCAATTCTAATATTATAAACATGTATTATACTACTGACCTTACTGGAACATCATTACTGCCTTCTTTATCATCAAACACTCCCTGAAATAAGAATGCCAATGGCCAACTTATCCATGAACTCCTGAAATTATAACAATATAATATTTTAATTACATAGCTGTTAAATGAGTATTTCAAGTTTGGAATATTAGGTACCTATATTCTTTAAAATTGTCTCTAATTATTATGACCAATATATTTCTATAATTTTATAATTATTATATATTTTATTGTTAATATATGAAATAATTCAGATTAGAATATCATTAAAAAATGATTAATACTAGCCAACTGATATAAATATTTAAATTATTGATATTATTTGTATACACAAGTTGTATAATCATACAAGACAAAAAAGGAATCATATTCTTCAGAGTTCCACCTACTCTTTTTAGGCCTTATTCACAATATTCACCTCATGCATGTAGATAATGATTTTTAAATATTAAAATATAATTATTATTCATTACGCTGGTTGTGTCATTGTATCTTCTGTATCACTTGTAGAAGTAGATAATGGATCATGTATATCATCATCCATTGAACTTAAATGAGTATGTCTGCGGGATCCAGGGGATGATCTGGCAATTATTGGATTATATATTTTTGGATCACTGACCATTCGTACAAAGAATGATCTCCTATAGGCCAAATCATCCTTCTTCTTACGTTCTGATAATTCAAATACTTCATCCACCTGTTCCTATTTCAAATTTAACAAATTATTAAGCTAAGAAGTTAGTAAAAATTAATTAATAACTAATCAAAATTAAATTCATAGAAAATGTAAGTATGAGGAATATCATGGTATGTATTTAATTAGTGCTGTGAATTCTTCTTTATCTATAATTTTTATCTAGATTTCAACCCATCTAAACAATATATGACAACAAATGTGAGGCTTAGATTTTGTTATTTTAGAATTTTTTTTCTTAATATTAGTTTCATTCTTTATAAAGCTGTAAAAATAATTAGATTTTTAACATTGATATAATTTCTGGTAGGAAAGTACGTCTAGTTGATTTTTTTTTTTTGGCTGGGTCACAAGTAAAAATTCCCAGAGTCGGACTCCAAACGGCTTCGTCTATTGTTAGCTTATTTCCAAATGGCTCCCATCAAAAAAGGTTTTACGAACAGGTAAATTATAAAACGGCTCCCGTCGGTAAAAAATGTACAAAAAGGTATAATTGTATTCAACAATAATTATTGGACATAATATTATGGTCATATGGACGCCTATCTTCCAAAACAACCTACATAATAACTGCACGATGTTATTACGCTCCTAATAATGCTATTGTTATACCTATAGTATATACAGTTCCTGTATATCATATTTTTAAATTTAAAACTTTTAAACGGAATACCGAAAATATGGGATATATTTATGATATTGAAAAACCAATATACAATCTGACACGTAAATTAAAACTCGAAATCATTTTACTACCCTGAAATCGAAAAAAAAAACTCGTCGAGGTTAGGTTAAAGTTTAAAGTATCAGTATGGAAAATTGGAAAATCATAATAAATCTTGTATTAAATTATCAAACCCTCGAATTAAGAATTATTGCTTGTTATCGCCCCACCACCGAGATATAATTTTTATATACCGTTTACATAACTTTCAAGTAAAAGTATTTAATTATGAATTCTTTGAAGTTAATAGTAACTATTTCATTAAAAGATCTCTAAATTTAATGTCATATTTTATTTATTTCAACGATTATTTTTCTAGTAAAAATTGAATGTCAGAATTGAGTTTGCGGGAAATAATTCATAAAAACTAATTGAGTTACAATATTTTGTATTTTTGTAATATGCATACCTATAAACTATAATATAACAACAATTTGACTAAATTTTTGGCTAACATGATTAAAATAGAATTTCAAATATAACAAGTAGTATTAACCCTTTTTGTATAAATAAATAATAAATCCCATACTAAATTGACCTAAATATAGAAAAACATCTAAAATGAATATCGAAGTTTAAGGTTTTTAGAATACTGCTGATGTTAAGTGGTGGTCTGGTGGTGGGGTGATAACAAACAACAAAATTGAATAAAAATAAAACCCCATCACTGTGAAACCTCTACATATTCATAGCTCAGTTCAGTATCTAAAATAATTTTACAACTCAATTAAAAATCTATTGTTATATATTGAGTGTATAGTAAGTATTTTATGCTATAATAAAATAGATTTCAACCTATTTAAACAACGCAAATATAGGCATGTACCTACTACAATACTACATATATACCCATTCAGATAAATTATATTTACTAACCTCTCGTTTTTCTTTGAGTTCTTGTTCATTATATATAACTGTTACGGCTGTTTCCTTAATAATTTTCCAAGCGTAATCTATATTCAATAACATTTTAAATATTTTTTTGTTGAATCTCAAGTGTTAAGTAACAATTTAACATCTTTTCCATCATAATATAAAGAGTTAAAATTGTTGTTAGGAATTGAAAGGATACATAGTATAATATTTGTTATGTATACTATTTAATCAATTAACTAAATCATATAAAATTGTAAACATGTATCGCAAAAYGTTCACGTTTTTTTATTCAATTTCAATTAAAAATCTGAAAAGTAACTATTGTTTCATAATATTTGCAGTATAAAGCCAAACGGTATTATTTAATTATATTATATCTTTATTTGTATTAAATTATATTGTATTTATTTTATATTACCAATATCGTCTTCTGTAGCATGCTCTGCCACTACACAAAACCTGATGACATACTTGTCGTGTACTAATGATGGCACCATGTGAAGTTTTCCTGATTCGTTAATGGTTTCCAAGAGCTTTTTATTAAGTTTATTGGTCGGATCGTCTTTCAAACGAAAACAAACTAACCCCATCTATTTTTTTTTTTTAAGAAAAAATATATTTTTATGTAGGTATATAGTGGTAAAATATTGAATTTAATATGTCATTAGTGATTACCTTTACATCATTTAAAACTTCATACTTATTATCACTTCTGACCAATCTTTCAAAACGTTTTGCAAGTTGACAATGGTGTCTAATATACTTCTGAAGTCCAGAAATTCCATATGTACGCAGCACAAACCAAAGCTTCAGTGATCTAAATGTTTGTGTTTAAATGATTGAATTTCTTATAAAAAAAATATAAATCATATTGTACTATTTAAGGCTTACCTGAAACGTCTACTCAACGGTATACCCCAGTGTCTATAATCGACAGCCCCAGCATAACCATGTTGTAAATAGAGAGGATCGACCACCAAAGCACAAGTTAATTTAAACCGATCTTTTACCCAAAGACATGAACAATCAAAATTTGTTAACAACCACTTGTTTGTGTTGAGATTAAAAGAGTCTGCATATTGTACACCATTCATTAAAAATCGAAACTCCGGACAAATGAATGCACTTCCAGCATAAGCAGCATCGACGTGTAACCATACGGTTTCAAATTGCTGGCATACTAGGCCGATTTCGGGTATATTGTCAAATGAACAACATGACGTTGTTCCTAATGTAGTGGATACAAAAAACGGTATCAATCCCATTGCCTCGTCTTGTTCCATCACCTATAATATGCGTTAATTCAAATATATTGAACTTGGGAACTATGTGGCTAACTAACTTGTCTTAACGTAGCCCCCCTCAAACTGTTATTTTCATCAGGTTCGAGAATACGTAATTTAACAAATGCCATCATAGCACCTTTTTCTACGCACGAGTGCGATTCTTTAGAACAGTAAGCCATCAATTTTGATAGTAGCACACCTTCTTCAATAAATGGGTGAAGTTTCCGTAATCGTTTAATTGCTTGAGCTCGAGCTGCTAGCATACAAACAAATATGCACTCACTTGCTGAACTCTAAAAAAAACGTGATTGTAACATATTTTTATGGCTAGTTAAATTAAATTATTGTAATTGTTCACCTGAAGTACCCCGCCGCCTTTACCGTTATGTACTTCGGTTTCACTATCATCGTTTCTCACAGAATCGATAGTTCTTGATGTTTCTTCAGAAAATGTTAAAAACTCTTCTGGTAGTCCTATGGCTTTACCGAGCCAATCCAAAACTATAGTTTCCAATTCTGTACACGAAGGACTTGCGGCCTTAATAAATAAATATGTATTATTTATAAAAAAATAATTAAAAACGTATTTTGCTAGTTACTTACCCATGAAAACCCTATACATGCTATAGAATCAGATAACATGTCTGCTAAAATTGAAGGAAACGAATTACCAGAAGGAAAATAAGCATGAAATCTTGGATGCTGCCAATGGGTCACCTAGTAAACACATAAATTAAGAATAATTTATGTTTTTTGTTACAGATTTGATACCGTATACGTTCTGTTTGAATTTGAAATCAAAAGACTGACAAAATATTGAAAAGTAAGTTTATATTAATGTCCAATTTATATTTAATTTTTAATTTTTTCAAAATGTATTGATTAATAATTTCTAGTAACTTAAATGAATATGTACCTACAACTATTTTATTATATTTAATTATTGATATTATTGAAAAAGCAATTAACGTTCAATGATAAATACTAATTATAATAAATATAAGTATTTTACTCCTGGCATAATTATATTTTCAACGTCTTTCATTATTTCATCAAATGACTCGGGTTGTGTAGGTGCTTCAAGCGGAATTTTATTTTTTAACCAGCCCGGGTTTACTGTTGGTGTTACTCTTCTATTTTTTATTGTCTCTAAATATTCACATATATAGTCCACCATCTCCTTTCCATGCTTGCGAAATTGTTCCGTATCCATTTTATAAATTTTTCCTTTAAATTAAATAAAAAATTTAATCAATACTTTTATTATTATTCAAATGCATTGAATTGTTAAGGATGTAAGGCTAATTGATTTCTTTTGGAGAACGATAATATTCTACGTCATCGTGTGCAATATTAGATTGACGGAACCACTGGAAGTCAACAACAGATTTTTCACCTTTTTATTTATTCATTTTTTCATTTCTTATTTATTAAAGAGATGTTTTTCTGAAAATGTGAGGCTATATTTTAATTAATTTTTCTTTATTTGACAAGTTTAAGTGGCACCAATGGTTAGCGAAACTTGTAATAAATAAATAAAAATCGATAAAATATCATCAGAATCAAAATATTTGAACTTTTAAAAAATATTTCCTTCAAAAAATTATTGTACACATAATTTAGTTTTTGAAAATACAGTTATAATTATTATAAAATAAAATACCTAGTTAAAAATATATTTTAATTTATAAGATTATTGATTAACACTGAACTATAAAAGTAACAAGTCAGGAAATCATTACATATTTTCAAAATAATTACCTATATAATCTTATCATCAACAATTATACTTAGTGGTCCTAGTGCTTATTGAATTATTCTATTATCATAACTTAATTAATAAATCGAAAATATTTTCATTTTTCATATAACTATGTAATTTCATCGATGTTATTTCAATTTTGAGTTTTGACGGACTGTTTGAGAGTAATAATTGATGTGTTCATATATCATGATGATGATTTAATTATAGTTCATTGTATAACATAATCCACTGATCATTTATAAAAGTGACCACTTATCTACTTAATATTGGTGTAAAAATAGTTTGCAGGAATCCAATAAATTATTCGTTCTAACTTCAAGAAATAAATATTATTCTTATATTGTACAAATACGAGTTATTACAATTAATGAAATATTTCTTAGTATTTAATATTACTGAAAATAATATAATAATATTTATAAATTATAATTATAAAGTATTCTTATTCATGTAAGATGTAAATTTAATATAAATTTATTTATTATTTTTGTTTGTCATTATCTTTTGGAGCAGTATAATAAGCTTCGATTTTAAAGTTTGGCAATYAGTAAAAAATATGATATATTTGATATTTTTAGTGGGGTTGGGTCAAAAGTGAAAAATTCCAAGTACCTTTTCAAAATAACTGGAAAAAAAAAACAAAAAAAATTGAAAGAAAGCGAAACTTTTTACAGAAAATCAGTTTTCGGCAATATTAATTTGGTTTAATATAATTCAATAACATTAACCATAGATTTATTAAATTTTTACCAAATATTATAAGCATTTTGTGTATATAATGCAATTAAAAAAAAATTTAGCTATCCTTAGACATTTGTCATTTTAATTCGTCAACTATATAAATGTCGGTTAAAAATGTGTGCTCGCTCAAAATAATTTTAACTTTAATACAAGGTTCATAATATGCCGATTTAAAATAAAATAAAAATATATACCAGAATTTATTATTTTGTACCTAAGCGTTTGAAATTAAAATTTTGGTGAAATTCGTCAAAACCGCAAACATTCGTAAAATTATTGTTTAGCTAAAAATTATTAAAAAATAGAAATCGTATAACAAAATCCTTATAAATTATTATTATTGAAATTGAAAAATAAAGTTGTGGATAATTTTACAAGTACTTGTTGTGAGCATCTGTTTTTAAAAATTTGAAGAAATTATATTCATGCGTAAAAGAATGATTTTCTTATTTTCTTGTATTCAAAAACGATAGATATTTGAAATGTTCACCAAATGCTTATACTAGCATTTTCCATACAATTCTATTTGAGCTATTGACAGATATTTGATCATTTTTTTAAAATTATTTTTTCTATAAATATCAATAAAAGAATTTTGTTTTTTCAAAAACCTTGAGAGTTAAATACAATATATATCATAAGTACACCTACTGTATAACAAAATGGTTATCCGCTTTCACTCCTTTTAAGGTAGGTATGAACGGGGTAAGCCTAAGTCTCAAAATCCATATTTTTGAATTACCTATAGTCGTGTAATAATTAAAAAAAAAAAAAATGAATATATTATAATATTTTAAGAATAATGTTTATAAATTGTATATTTAATACACATTTAGTATTTTCAGTACGACGTAATCATATTATATTTACATTCATTACAAGATAATTATAATATCATACTTATTTGGTATGTTAGGTTTTTATTTTTTGATAATTAGAGCATAGAAGCTAGAAGTTAAATTGAGTACCTATAAGTAACAACTAATAGTTATAATGTATAATGAAACAAATCCAACTACCAAATTGTGTTGACGTAGTGGTTAGGTTAGGTACACACCCTCGCTTCAAAATCCACTTTGCGACGTCCCTTGCTAGTAAAATAAATTTTGAATTTTATAAAATATGCTTAACTTTTAAATACAATATTAATTAATTAGCCGTTTTACAGAAATTCATTATCACATTTATTAATACATTTTTATTTTTAATGTGTTATTATTTGATATCACCGTAATTTATAACATATAATTTTGGACACATCAAATACGTAGGTATATAAACAAAAAAAACTTTTAATATGTGATTTCCTTACTTGGTTTTACTAAAAGTTCTTAAAATTGTTTRTAAAACTCTGTTAGTTTTAAATACTACTTATATAATTTCCAACATTTTTACCATTCCATAAAAAAACAAATATTATTTATCACTTTGTTTTACTTAAAATGTTGTTATTATTATTCTTTTTTAAATATTAAATGTAATATTATGGAAATATGGAATTTTAATTTAATTTAATTAAAAAATAATAATAATAATAATAATTTCGTACAATATTTATATAAAGCTGCATAATTTCTCTGAACAAATATATTTTTTTATTTTTTTTTTTTTATCCTGGCATACAGATTATACTATATATTATGATGTAGTATATAAGTTAGGTTCAATATATACATATTATGTTGAAAAAATATATTGAAAATCCTAATTAATTTTTTTATAACCAAAGTTGTTAAGAAATTCAGRATATGAATTTGAAATCAAACATTTTTTGTAATTTCTTAAAAGAATAAGAATAAGAAGTATGTATAGTAAATAACAATAATAGTATAATATAGTTTATAAAATTATATATTTATCTACGAATACATAATATGTATGAGAGGGTGTACTCACTATGTATTTCGAATGCGGCGCGTCCAAACTGCTAGAGCTATAGAACAGTTATGAAAGACTCTCGAAACGACTGCATGTAGCGTGAAAACTAGCGGCCAACGTTTAAATCCAATATGAATAGTATTAGTATACTCCGTTTTCAATGGCAATTGTATAGTTAATTATTGTTATTTTATACAAAAATGCCAATTTTTATGTGCTTATCTTTTCATTATGTTTAAAAGAAAATGTAACTTGCTCTAACATAAACCAAAAACAATTTCTTCTTAAATCATGATTGTATTATATCATTGTTTATTTAATTATTTTCATTCATAATATATCAGTATTTTTACTAATTTAAATATACCCTTTGTATAAATTATGTACTGTATTATTTAAGTTATTAGTTATATTATGTGTTTAATATGAAAAATTCTTCATGATCACCAAAATTGCACTTAATCCATTGGCCGATGTGGTATATCTATGTGGACTATTATATGTAATGGGTCCATAGTGTTGTCAGCTTTAAATTACATTATACTTTTAATTGTGTAAAAATATATTTTTAAGCAAATTAAAGAAAAATAATAAAAGCCTCAACAGTTTCGGAGTAGTGGACAAACATTTTTCGGGGTAACCCCGTACCACTCCACTCTGCCAATCTAAACTTTAAATACTTATAATTTATAAACTACTCGTCCTAAATTCGATTTTTATGAATAAAAATACTTAAAAAAATATTCTGCTTCAGAATATGAAACTAAAACTCTATGTTGTCATTCAAAAAAGTAAAAAACTTGAAAAATGATAAGGAAAAAAAATATTTTGAAAAAGTCAATACTTTTTTAAATAATGAGTGTTGTTTGATAAATCAATCACCCTGTATATATACATACAGTCTTCCGAATTTCGTGATGGTTGGGATAAAGTTAGTTTTTTCGCAATCCCCACCATTTTTTTGTCATACAACATTTGAAAGACCCTGTATGCAATTTAAATTTCATATATGTTAGGAAAAAAAATTGCATGTTTTTAGACGTAAAAAGTTTCAAGATAAGGATTGTCACACAACACAAACCTCCCCCTAGTGAGTTGAAACAGAGTTTCATTAATAATTTAGAAAAACAATTATTTAGGACATTTTGCAATCGGTTGGTAATCTTGCGGATATAATATGAAAATAAAGTTGTAACAAGGCAGGTACATTGCACAATGCACAATCAATATTTTGAAACAAATTGCTAAATGTCTATTAAGTGTAATAAAAAATATTAAGAAAACATTTTTAAAATGTATTAAAATTTAATAAAAACTGAATAATATACGTATGTTGTATAGTATATCATTTAGTTTTTAGTTTTGTAAATCGTACATAGATTTATAAATATTAAATAATTTATCCAAATATTACCACCTAACTTTCATTTAGGTAATTTGTGCGGCAACGAAAACTGTCCCTTGTCTGTGCAACAACCACAAACCAYATACAATATCATATAATTATATAACCATCAATATTAGATGTACAATGGATACAGTGTCCGTTGAAGTTTGTTGTAGAAAATTCTTACTCAAGTTTTCACAGCGAATTAACTCTCCAGAAACTTCACTTTTATGTTAAGTATTACCCGTTTTCCATTTGCCCTACCACATATATAGTACGTGTATATTATGCGAGAGTGTTCTAAGGAAATTAAGGCCTTGTCTCGCTCTGTATGATGGATGTATCACATGGCAGGAAATTTAAAACAGTTAGTTTCTCGTTGTTGCTTGTTAGTGAATTTATGTGCTTTTTGATAAGAATAAAGAATATTAGAGAATCTATTACTGAACTTATGTATTGAATCATATCAGAACCTAGACAATCGGATAATAATTTCAACGCTGCAAGTTCAATAAGAATCTTCATTCCTAAATATGAGAACCAATTTAAACTAACTGTGTTTTACGTATAGAACGTTAATTTTCTTACCTTGTAGATTAAAAAAATATATTTATGTATTATAGACTCTAGTTAGTACATTTTGTGTATGACCCGAGCGTTTGAATTATTGGTGAAGTTCTTATTCTTTCATAAGACTATCTCCCTACTCAATTGGCGAACCTTATTTTCAAATTAAATTTATATTATCAAGTCTTTAGAAACTCAAATATTTAGTTTATTTTTACTATAGTTACTAATTATCTACCTGTATTCCAAATTCCGACCATTGTAATACGTGGAACAAATATAATTTTTTTTATAGGATATATTGTTTTAAAATTGGTATAGCTATAGCTTATTTACATATCTAATTTTATTATTATTTATTTATACTACACATGGAGGCTTTAATTGTTATTGCTCATTGAAATTATTCATATATTATACCATATTAACCCCAATATTTTTGTCACATCCTTCAACTAATATATCTATATAGTCCTGAATAATTTCATCAACAAGGAGATCCATCACGATTAATTCGATATGAGTGTTTATATATAGTAATATAGGTCAAGGTTCATTGGGAAAATCGTGAAGGAATTTCCATCAGCGWTTTCTAATATGAAGCTTGTAGTGTTTACACCACRGATGGTTAAGGCAAATGAGGAAACGCATACAAAAAAAGCATTGAAAAGTTATATTGTACCTATTGAAATAATACTTAAGCATTCAGAACCAATATACCATAATGTATATAAGCTGCCTCATATAAATGAATTGTAATAATGGATTGTACCGCTAGGAAACAATGATGTAAGCATTATTATTATTTTTTTTAAAACCTTTCTATCTAACTGTAGTTTTCGAGAAATTTGAAGTTAGACTTGAAAATTATAATCGGTATATTTTATTAGTAGTCGGTGGTAGATGGAATGTTGACTATGCGACGATTGCTCTGGAATGCTCTTCATTTTATCTCATAAAAGTCCCATGGCCATAATAAACCTGGACGAGTGACTGGGGGCCCTTAACTATTGATTCTCGTTCACATACTTGTGAGATTTATGTCGCCTGCGCGCTCAACTGTATTATCGTTGCTCGTCTATAGCTTAAGCACAAATTCTGTACAAAATCCGACGACATTTTCGTTATGTTAGGTATACCTAAGCGTGATTTATTAGGTAACAATAGTTATTAAATTTTCTTCGTATGCTCTATTTATATTTTCTTCTAGAAATACATATTATAAATACTTATGTGAGCCGTGAGGTGTAGCGTGTGGTAACTATTGATAATCTATCTAGAAGATCGAAGAATTTCTAGATTAAAAGTTTAATACATATTTTGTATTACATTCTTAATTTTTACTTTACAATTATTGATCAACACAAGCATTTATATTTTAAGACTGCTACTTCCTTGAATATCATATCATTCATAACATGTATACCTATTAGAATTTCAAAAAGATTTAGTATTTTTATGATGAAAAATATTAAATTAATTTATTTATTAGTATATATATACTATAATATTAGTATACATTTATATATATAAGTAATTAATAATTAATAAAATATTAATTTTACAATTTATAAGTTTGTTGCTAAATATGCATAATTATAGATATTTTGAAATTTAATTTAATATGTTTTTACTATTTTTACATACACTATTTCTTGTTTTATTTCTAGACTTGTGATTTTATTAAACTTCTATATTTTTTTAACTTACTATGTTATAATAATATAATGTTATATTGTAATTTCTAGTCTTTATGTATTAATCGGTTAGATATCTTATAGAAAATATTTTTTTATGAGTCTGCAATACCGAGACTTTATGCTCCTAACAAGTCTAAAATAAAAGTATACTGGTTTGAAAATATAATCATAATAATTTATTGTAAAAATGAGTAGATTTTTCTCAAAATTAAAAACTGATCTTTTCTTATTTACTCCTAAGAGTTTTTGATTAATTAAATAAACTATTATAAATAGCTATACTCAAACTATTAAATAATATATATGATAGTCAAATACCTATCTAATATAAAAAAGCTTTAGTTTTCCTCAATAATTATTGCCTATAGTTAGTCTCCCATGGATATAGTACCTAATTTGATCACTTATTTACTTCACTATCAATATTTATATCAAAACAAATAAGTTGTATTATTGGTTTTGTGCTTATACTAAATTTAATTTATCTAATAAATCAAGTAAATAATTTCTAATTTCTAATGCTAAGAATGAAATGAAACATTTAGTTGTTAACACTAAATTGTTTTCCATATCAAACTAGCATTTCTACTATATATCTTTCTTGGCCCGTAGACCAGTTTAATTCAAAGGTGTCATTTATTTTGGAAAGGGTTCATTGGCACCACCATTTATCTGTTTTATCGGTTTTTCATTACATTTACAAACCTATGTGATAAATGTGATGACATCTAGGTGTAAAAGATTTTAAAAACTTGTTTTCTAAAATTTGTGTTGTGTAATATTTTTTTATATGCCTAATTAGAAATTTTTTAATTACTACTAATATTTTAAAATGTATGTGTACAAATTTCTATTATATATACTTCAATATAAAAAGATTTCCCAAATAGATTTTAATCTAAATTATTGATATATTCAAATAACTTCCAAAACCACCTTCAGAAACACTTAAGATACTTCAAATTCTTCACATTATTCCAATTAGTACTGCACATAATAGAAAAAATATTTTACCTTTGATCCTCTTTGGAAGATGAACAATTGAGTAATTAATGGTTATAAATCATAATAACCAGAGCTCGAATGTTAATGACCAAAATTTCATTAAAATATGCAATTATGTACCATAAAATATATTAAATATACCATTTTTTTCAACAAATATATGCAAAAAAGGATTCATATTAATTTAAAAAAAAAAAATTATGTCATCTTTTGAATATTTGTTTAAAACTACCATATTACAAAATAAACAGCTATTAAATATGAAAAACATGATTAATTAGTTTCCGATTTATTAAAATTAAATTTTACATACCTAGTTTTAGTATTTAAAGTATCAAGATTACACTGTATAACAGTTATTTTTCCGGTATTAATAAATTTTAAAGACCTTCGACGATCCAACATTAAGTTTTTATAAATCGAAAACGACTGGTCTATGTCTACAGAGTTGATCACTGCATATTTAAATTTATCAATGTTGTCAGTCTCCACAACCATGTACCACTGGCTTATAAATATCTGATCTCCTAATTTTATCAGTCTTTTGCTTCCTAAACACTATAATAATTTAACGATGATTTTTTATTTATTGAAGTCTAACAAATTATTAATTAACAATAATAAATGATAATAACATGGACAATTTTAATTTTTATACTTATGATTTATGATATATGTGCTAAATAATTTATAAATAATCAATATATGCATTTATATGCCCAAAAATGTCAAATATGCAAAAATATACAAAATAAGTTTACATATTAGTGATCTAAATTTCATGAATTAAATTTATATTATATTCATTGTATTAATAAAATATGCAGTCATAAACATCCAAGTTCTAATAATAACTATAGAAAAATAAAATGCTAACAAAATATACACTTACGAAACAGTAATTTTATTTACAAAAATGAAAATTAGATAGTAGAAATTAAAATATAATATCTACATTATCATCATTAAATTTTATCTTAAATATTATTGATTTTTAATGTAATATACTACTAAGTATTACTTTTTAGCAAAAATTACCGTATTAACTATTAAGTACAATGTTATATACTTTTGTATTAATAAATTAAGTACATAATATATGAATATTAAATATAGAATATATATTGTATTAGTTAAATTTTGTAAAATTTTAAATAAATAAAAATTGTATTATGATTGTTGTGAATGCTAAAATTTGATTTTTTACTTATAGTAATTTTATTACAATTGGTGTGTTTTAAATATTATTAATTATCTTATTTTGGAGAAAATGACCTTAAATTTGTCAGGAATCATTGAACTATTTTTTATTTTTTATTTATCTATATTATTTCTTATTAATTTTTGTCATTATTATTTAGTTAAATATCTTTACTACTTCAATTGAAACAAATGCATTTTTAAAATGTAAATTAATTTATTGGAACTTATATTTTACAGTGGAAAATCAAAAACCTAAATGTGTATACCAGGAAGAACGCTGGACACGTTCCTTGATTACAATTGACAATCTACCAGAAAAATTTGAACATTTAAAAGTTAATAACCATTCCAAAATCAGAAACATGCTTGGTTTTGCAGTAAAAAGTTTTGAACACTCTAATCATCTAGTATGTAGTGCCAGTGGTCCATCAGTTAATAAAGCTGTCACATGTGCGGAAATATTGAAACGACAGATGCCTGAACTTAAACAAGTCACTGGTATTGGATATAGAAAGTAAGCAATAACATAAGTCTGAAATTAAATATTTAAAAAAAAAATTCAAGCTGTACAAGGTAAATAACCATGTTTATTATTATAACTTATTAGTATAGTTTCCTATGTATACAAATAAAAATCATAGTAATGTGATTCTTTTATAAATATAATTGTAAATTGATTTTTCAATGTAAATTGTGGTTTATGGCACCATTACAAAACAAATACTTTAAAACTACAAAATTGTTTAGTGTTCTTAACATTTACACTTTTATAGTAAGTTTAAAATTATATTTAATTGTTATAAAGGTAAATATAACTTATTTTGGGAAACATTTTATAAACAGCAATATCTTTACTTATAGTGTAAGGATGATCAAGGATGAAATGATTGATGGTAAAGTATCTCAAACAATTACAACTAGAAGATTACCTTCAATTCATATTCTTTTATCCAAAAATCACCTTCATCCGAGTTTACCTGGGTAAGCCTACAATAATCTAATATAATAAATATTTGTTGGTTAATTGTCTAGTTTACATATTACAAAAAAAAAAAAAAAATTAAAATCAAAAAAAAATGTATTTTATAATGTTTCCTAGTTAAATGTATAAATGTATAATTTACTGTATGCATAAAATGAATTAATTAGAGTATTTTAATTTTAGATACCAAGGAGCTGACAAGGTATCAGATCATGTTAATAGGCCAGTACCTCGGAAAACATTTGAAAAAAATGATTACCGCGGTACTAAGGAGAGTTAAGTTATGGCTCTTTAATTGATGTTGTTCCATCCTCTTCGGTCCGTACACCTTGCATAATTGCATCAGGCATAGGCACAATCAAGTTTTCTTTTGCCATTAAGTTGTATTTAATCACAAATTTTGTAAACCTCTGGCATAAGTATGTTTCATTCTATAATATTGTAATCACATAATTATATGATGTATCTGTAACTGTATTTATAATTATGTAATAGTTTTATATTTTGTATACTTTACCTCAAATTTATTATAAATGTTTTGATGATGGTAGTATGCATGAGAAAATATCCTGTAGACTCGCCGACAAACAGASCCCAATTTCGCCACTGATGATTCCTTAATATTAACCCTTAAATAAATAATAATACTTTTAAAATAATTTTAGATAAATATGATATTTTATTAATTGATTAATTGTTTATTTTTAATTTTCTACATAACAATAATGATATATATATACATATATATTATAGTTAGTTTTCTACCAACCATTATTGGTAGTTTTTATTTATATAATAATAGAGCGTATACCTAAGTACAAATCTTAATGACATATAATACAATTTATTTTATTAAGTTTTTAAGTAAGAATAATTTAATGTAAGCTGTTGCTTGATAATAAAACTAAAGTGTATAATATCTAATTGTGTTTCTATTATTTAGTTTCCTAAGACAAAAATACCTATTACAAAAATTATAGAAGATAATATTTTGAGGATATTACATATCAGTTTTATATTTAATTATTACTTTATCTTGTATTCAACTTTTAAAATTAAACATAAATAAATAAACTTAAATTATATTCTGTAATTTGTTTAATAGATGGTTTTAATCTATGATCATTCAAAAATAGTTGTCTGCAACCTTTATGATGTCAAGGACCAAAAATAATAATGAACAATTTTAAACAAAAATATATATTCATAGAAAATTTAGTTTATTAAGTTCATAATTGTTAGGTTTATTTATTTTACAAGATATCTACTAACAAACAATGCTTTAATTCACAGTTTCTAGTCCATATTATATTAGTTTGAATTCTAAGTACAAATTATACATTTTGCTCATGGGCCACATACGACTCGCGGGTAACCAACCACCTACTCAAAAACATGAAAAAAAATGATTCTGCATAAATGCGTTTTGTTTAAATTGTGCATGTACCAAAGTAAGAAAACAAACAGTAAGTTTGATATCCTCTTAATAGTAATTTAAAGATAGAAACTAAAATGTTGACCATAATGTTTTTCTTTTTAATAAAACCTATATACTTATACCTTCCATAATGAGAAGAAAACAGGAAACAAAGCTCCGTTATCTATGATTCAATAAATTATTAACACGTTAACTGCCATGTGACCACAGGCATCCATACAATATTGTATTTTTGATACTCTTAGCATATTATTCCATTTCATTTAGTAAAATATTTAAAAATAAAAAAATATAATATTACATCAAAAAAATTATGATTCCCATTATACCACTGCTGTACTTGTTTTTGTACATTATTTTAGTGCCATGGAAAGTTAATAATATAAAACCATATTCATTTATGGTTGCCATAGATCAAAGTTTTGAAATTTGAACATTGCATTACAACCACTGGTGGGCACATGGCGATAGACTTGTTAAGAGGATGCTACCCATATCCTATATGTCTGTTGTCTCAGTCTTACAAGAGTATGACAGCCAATTTTTGTACACTAATTTCAATAGTGTGTTGAGAGTTTTTACATTAAAGTGAAATAATTTCCTATCATCAAACTTTTAGTTAAGAACTTTATCTGTGCGATGTCGTATGTGTGTTAGATGGAGACAAAAAATGCATGGGTAGCGTCCTTTTAAAGACAGAAGTTGGATGTGTTACATTAGCAAACATAACAAATATATAAGTGCATACACACTTTTTAGCTATTTATATTTATATACATACATATATATATATATATATGTTTAAACAAGCTAAAAAGCTGCATAACAATTTTTAATGTTGCTTTAACATGATGTAAATTTAATGTATAAAATACAATAACAAAATAATATTTTATGAATAAGAGTTGAAAATTAAATTAACAAACTTGATCATTAACTATCTCATGGTTCTATTAACAAGATTATACTAAAGTATAATTAGTATTTTGGTTAAAAGATAAATTTACAAAACTACTAATTTATAAAATGCTTAAAATGCATAATTATATAATATGTATATGTTATACCTGCTAGGAAAATATTTGTTGCTGTTTAATAAACAAGCAGCTCCATCTAAAGTGTGACGGGTGTAATCAATAGCTGGACATTCTTTAGGAGTTTTATGTGCAGCACATAAAAATATCCACTGTTCAGTGGATGTCATTTGGCTACATGTATCAGGTAAACATTCAGATTGCAATTCAACCGCTAGCCCATTTAATTCCATACAAAACTGCCTACAAATGCAATAAACTAACGTTAAAAATGTTTATTAAGACGGATTAAATTATTTGCCACCTGAGATGTTCGTATTTCCAAACACCTTCTTCTTGAGAATCTGGAGGAGTCAATATAAGGTCAATATTACTCGGATCTACACGTATTTGTTGCTGAATAAACTCTTGAACAGCCAATGTACTTTCCATCTCCTCAAACGGTTCGTCAGGCCATTTACGAAAGAACTAAAAACAATATTCAAATATAAATTACACAAACTTAAAGAATAAAACGACTCACCTCTGCTTTTGTTCCTGGTTTGTTTCGTTTTAATAATTTCTTTACTGATTCAGCCATCTTCATTTTCAGTAATCAATAACTGTGTGATCAAATTGTCTTTAAATCCATAAAATATACAAATTACAAACACTATTACAAACACAGTAAAAACGTAATAGAATAAAATTCAGCTTGTGTTTATTGAAAAATAGAAAACACCACTCCACAGTCCACAGAATAAGACTATTCTTCGGCCGACAGGCTACAATCAATACGCTATCACTATCAAACATTCCTACGGCAATGATAACGTTTTCATATATTGATAATAAAAAATCGTATTATAATACACAAGTAGGTAAATTAAAAAAACAAAATTGAAATAAATTGATATCTATTTTGTGCCTACTGCCTAAAAATACCTAATAAAATGTATAACATCTATGCTACTGATTATTAAGCATACATTTTATAAATATGAAAATAATATGTATGGAGTTGATTACTCAATATTGTAGGTTGTATTGTTGGTTATACCTTATATATCATGTAAGCATAGGCGCAACTAGACCTCTAAAACGTGGGGTGCTATACTCTATACTATTAAAAACATAAAATTKATGTTATTTCATTATAATTATAATAGTTAGATCTAAAGTATCAAGGGGTACTAAATTAGAACTTGGGGGTGCTAAAGACCTTTTTGCACCCACCTAGTTGCACCAATGCATGTAAGTAAGTTGTAAACACAAGGCACTATAGACACATTGATGAATTATGTTAACCCACGGTTATAAATACTTGTGGTCATAGAAATTAAGTTCTCGGGTTATAACATAGTTATACATTATATATATTATAATCACAGAATAATTAATACTAATAAAGAAATAATAAAAATATACTTGCAAATAGTACTTAAAACTCAAAATTAGCAAAATAGCACTAAGAACCGCAAATTTATAAAAAACATCAAAACACAATTGCGTAGAAATATTAGATCAGGACAATGTGAAATACATTTCTATCTTGCTCTAAATGTCTTAAAATGTATAATACTATATTACTATGTATTTGTGTATCAACAATCAACATTGGTGTTGGTAAACAAATTTTTAGGGAGTGCAGCATTAAACGATTTAATTATTATAAAGTTGTTTTTTTCTAATTTGATGTGTAAACTACATGTGGCACGTCTCAAATTTATTGCATAAATAAAAACTGGTTTAAGTGCACACACTACACGCCCACATTATGATTTAAGTTAAGATTTAAAATCTTAAAGCTAAAATTATTAAATTATTGGTAATTGGTATTTTCAATTTTCGATTTGAACCATTTTAGATTCTGTGCGGAACGATGAATGTATTGATTTTACAATGATGTGTGTTTTTTTGTGTCTGTGAACACGATAAGTTATCGAAATTCGGTCTTAAACTTCAATAGCTTTTCCGGTCGGAAAATGTATCTAGTTGGCAGGGACGAACTAGATCGAAGGGCGAAGGGGCGAACGCCCACTGGGCTGGTATGATTGTGAGCCCTCACAGGTATATTGGGCCCATGTGTACAACTGTGTAGTGATTAGTGATGGTGATTGGACATTGTCATAAAAAAACTTATGCTGTATGATGATATTCGTGAAATTTTTGGGCCTCTACCTAGGATTGCCAAGGCCGATTTCTTACCCCAGTACGCCCCTGCTAGTTGGTGCATGGGAAGGTCAAAGGGATTCCCAGTAGTTTTCAAAAATATCAGGGAAAACAGGAGTTTTTACGCAAAAAGAATTTTTAAAGAAAATCAATTTTAGATGACGATGCAACTCTAAAACAAATTACCGCAGACACATGACATTTTCACTGAATATTTATTTTATACTTGAATTTTCTAGGTATACATTTTATGTAAAATTTAAAAAATATTTCAAATCTTTTTAAACTATTTATAGACATTTTAAATTTTAAATCTTTTTGGTATTTTAGATTCTGAACGAAGT